GCTAAGACTCGGATTTCGAGGTCATCAGATAGCTGGATGATCACTCCTCTCCTAAGAGGAGTCTGATCCCCTTTACTTTCCGCTCTTTTTACATCCGAACACATTCTGACTTGATCGTCGGAGGCGGAACTCCCACCCACAGGAGTCTCCGTTGTTTTGCAGGTACAGGCATCCAGAGGCCAGTTTTGGTGTCATAACTCTCCCGCAAGACATCCAAAAACTCTGAAACAATTATATAACGAAATATATGTGTAATCCCCCGTATTTTTAAATAATTTATAAATGAAATTTTATTTTATTTATAATATTTATTTGTATTTTTCCAGAATTTAATTTTAAAATTTTCAAATTATTAATTGGGTTAAAAATTATTTTAGGCTAAATTATTTTAAGAACCTATATCCTACAACCCATTATCATAAAAAAAAAAGCTTAACCAATTTGTTTATTTAATTGGCCTATTATTTTCATGAGGCCCAATTCTACCCTACAATTCTCTCCTATAAATACCCCATGAATTCCCAAATTTTCCTCCACACAAAAAAGTTAGTCTTTATTTCTTTTCCCTTTATTTTCTTTATTTTATTTTCCCTTCATTTTTCTTTTTCTTCTTTTTTTTTATTTTCCTTTTCTTTTTCTTTTTTTTCTTCTTTCTTTTTTCTTTCCTCCTTCCTTACGTGAGATTGGTTCTCACTTTTCCTCACGGCTACTCTGTTTTGCCACTTGCCACCACGCCGCCTAACTGTCAGCCTCCGGCCACCTGACCTCCGGCGACGCTGCCCACAGCCGGCAGCCCCCTTTCCCTCTTCTTCCTTCTTTCTTTCTCTCTTTTGTTAGTTTATTCCAAGATTTGATCTTTATTAGTTTTTGGTTCTAAATTGTTGTTATTATGAGTTAAAAGTGTTTATTTAATACTAAAGATTTCAAATTTATGATATTTATTATGTTTAATTTATTGAATAAATTTTCAGATTTATTTAGTTAAGAAAATTAGGGTTTAAAACTTGATTTTCATGGTTTTAGGGCCTAAAAACATGTTGCTAAAGTTATTTGATTATAATATGTTTAATTTATGTTAAAACTCAAATATTTTTATGATAAATAAATTTTCAGAATATTAAAGTTTTAATCTTGGGTTTAATTTGTATTGATTTCATGTGTTTCAAGTCTCTAACTTCATTAAACAAAGGTTGTGGTTATTTTATGATTATAAAGTTTGGAACTTTAAAGTTTAATTGCAAGGATAATTTTTCAGATTTTAGGTTATTGTTTTTGAAGCCTCTAAATGCGTTGAATTTGTGAATTTTTGGGTTTAAAGCCTACTAACTTAATATATAATGTAGGTAGTTTCAAATATTACTATAATTTTGAGATTTCATGTATAAAATAAATTTTCAGATTTTTATTAAACTTTAAACTTGCTATAATTTCATATATAAGGGTGTATTTTAAGGTTTTTATGTAGGAAACTTAAAGAACAATATATAAGCTTTTAATTCTAGCAAAAAGGAAGGTTTTAAAGTGTTGTTTAATTGAATTTTGAAGGTTTGATTGAGTTTTTATGAAACTAATTGAATTCTAATTATATATTTCAAGTTTAGATTGTTGTAGCCACACATTCTACTATTAAATTAAATTTTTCAGATTTTTAATCTTGGTTTTAAAGGTTTTAAATCATGGTTTTATGATGAAATTTTAGATTTTTAATACTAACCTACTCCATAATGATTATTTTAAGTAGAGACGTCTATAAGGTTGATTTATAATTTTAAACTAAATTTTCAGATCATTTCTTACCTTAAGGTTGCTGGAATTATGTTATAAGCTATATTTTCATTTTAGCATATAAACTTATAGTTGAACTATTAAATTATTAACTTTGGCTATTGGGAACAATTTAAAGGCATTATTTCAATGGTTTATGAGGTTTAAAAGTAGGTTGGTATTGCTGTAAATTATATTGCTTGGGTATTGATTGAATTATTATTGTTTGGTTTAGGAGAGGACTTTGTAGAAGGCGATTTCTAGTTCCTGAAGTGGCCAACCAACTCGTTTACTCAAGGTACATACAAAGATACGAAAAACCTTGACTTTAGAAGCATGTTTAGGGACTTGGAAAATTTAGAATCATGTTAGGAAACTTGTGGATTGGTTGGAATTGTATGGTAGTAAGTTTGATTGGTGATTAATGTGATGATTGGTTTTGTTTCATGTTTGAGAAATGCGTATTAATTTATCTTGTAAGTATCATTTATGCATCAACTTGCAAGATGACCTTAGAGGCAAAGGTACATGAATATGTGGAATGAATTATTTTATTACTCGTTCATGATTATTGAAATAGAATGAATAAAGGGCGAATTAAAGTCTTATAAGACGAGGTTGAGGATTGAGGTGCCTTATGCACTTAAGGTGTTTATACACTGAGCTAGTTAAAGGATTCAATACTAAATATTGTTTGTCACTAATAAATCAAGAATTGAATTGGAAGTTTGAATTGTTTGAATGATTGATGTATGATTGGTTGTATTGTTTTGCATTTAAGTCATCACTAGGTTTAAACTGGTAAATCACGTAAAGTGCAAGAAGGATGAGCAATAAAACTCTAGATTTGTGCACATCTAGAGTATTGACAAACAGAGGTTGGGGTTCACGGGGTATTAGCCGTGTACTTTTTAGAGGCCGTCTGATCTATGAGTTTCTTGTTTTCAAATACTTTTTAAAACTATAATGAGTTAGATGAGATCTCATACTAATTATGGCCACAGAGTCGCGCCCGTCTTCCATTGGGTGTTAATTGATGTTTCCGAAAGGAGGCATGGGTTTTATCTTTTATTAATGTTTCGAAATGGAGCATGAGGAGACAACCTTGTCTATTGCTTAATCCAATCAATGAATGTAATGAAATGAATTATTTATTGTTAATAGTGATGTCTTAGTAATGTTAACAGTTGAGGCATGTGTTTGAGTCAATAATTAAATGTGTGTGCTGATTGATTTTAGTAACATGCTAGGGATTCTTTGTTGTATTTTGAAGCTTGTATGTACTCAGCGTTGCTGATTGCGTGCTTTTGTGTGTTTCTTTCCTGGTCATAGCCTTCGCCTTTTCAATGACCCTGTAATGATCCAATTTTTACACTTGTAATATTGGGGACCAGATTAATCACAAGTTTTTACATAATTAAAACTTGCATCAAGGTGGTGGAATTTTGAGTGGGGTGTTGGATATTTCCACAGTTTATTTCATTTCATAAGTTTGGATTTATCTTAACTCTGGTTTGATTTATTTACTACTTTTATTGGGTTTTGAATAAGGGCCGTAATGGTTCTAGCTTGTAAGACTAAATTTGGTTTTGATTATTGGTTTTGAAACTTATTGATAACTGAGTTAGTTTTTCCGCTGCTAAATTCTGAACTAGTCTTAACGTATGAACACGTGGTGGTAGCACATCAGTAATTCTCTTGCAAATTATTAAAGGTATTTACAGGTTTTTAAGAGAGAATTATTGGGGTGTTACAATATGAGTTCCAAGATTATTGGTAGAATAAGAATTATTAATAAGTGTCACTTGATGATTTTCTTTGTTCAACATGCGTGGTGTGGAAAGGCCTCGTGCGAGTCTAGCACGTCATGTCACTTGATGATTTTCTTCGTTTATCCGATTCCTTGAATCGTTTTAACGTTTAACGCTCGATTTTGACGCTCCGAGCTCGAAATCCGACGTTAGAGTTCTAAATATAATTATTGACGTATCAATGCCTTTTGGCTTAATCCGTCGCCTTAGTTTGGTTACACGATTGGATGTGACCCGTTGGGTACAGTCAAGAGCAAGACGTGAGTTTAATTATATTACTCTCACTAATCGGAAGCGGTCTTCGGCCAGGCATTCCGATCACTTGACTTCACTAAATAATTAGCTCCGTAATTAATTTTGAACCCTCTATCGGAATAATACACTTGGTCGAAGGACACCATTCCTTTCAGGAATGTCACCTCACTTCAAGGTCATAAGTTCGGTTATTCCTACCATTCGCAGTTCTTGAGTGTATAAATACTCATATCCTCCCCCTCCCAATAACCTAAGAGTCTTTTGTTTGTTCTATGCTTATTTATCATGGTTCCTTGAGTTTGGCTGCATTTTCCAAGGGTTGTTCCTAGGAAAAAGATGCTATCCCTTGAATATGTGTATTGTATATATTTCCATACTATGTTGTTCCCTCTTTCAAGTACAAGCTTCAATTGAATTAAAGAATTGAGAGATTTCTGCACTACGAAAGGTTTAAAGCATCATGAATAATAAGTCTACCAGGAACAAAGGCACTTTGATTTTCCAAAATTACACCTAGAAGTATCAACTTTAATCTCATAACTAAAGTTTTGACATAATTTTATAGAGAACGTTACATAAGGCAAAAGGGTGAAACTCAGATGTTGATGGGTTTTTACCTTTGGGATGAGAGCAATGTTGGTGAGGTTAATATATTTTGGAGAGCTCAAGCCATGAAGATTATTTGACACATGATAAGTAACATCGTCACCAATAATGTACCAGAATTTTTTATAAAATTTTACATGAATTCCATTCGGACCCGAGGTCTTACAAGGGTGCATAGCAATAATTGCCACACATATCTCTTCCTTACTTAGTGAAAGGATGAAGTAGCTTTACATTATCTTCTCTAGAAATAGCACGGGCAATGGAAGTAGGGACTTCTTGACACCTTGTTTCGGTGGTATTATATACTAGCCGTGAACAGATTCGAATAATAATTTTGGGTAATGCTTTCAAAATCTTCCACTTCGGTGCACCACGTCCCATTACTATCAATTTTCTTCATGTATTGAGATGCTTTGTGATGGAAGTACTTCGTATTTCTATCCCCATCTTTGATTTCTGCCAAGCGGGAAGACAAATACCAATAGTCTTCTTGTTTGTTTATATCCTCCCTACACTTCTTTTCAATCTCATAACACACAATAATGTTGGACTCCGCAATTTCCCCTACTAGATAAAGATTGGAGATCTTGGAATAAAATGGACTAAATTTTTACTGTATTCATTCATAGGTATTCGTAAACAAAAGAAGCGATTTTAACCGTTTTCATCCTAATAATATGCCAATTTTGCCCCTTAAGAAGACGATTGATCAAAGCTTCCTCCCTCCCTAAAAATATCTTGACATATGGAACAAGGACGTCTAGTAGACAACAGCAACCACCGTACACGACTACCTTCAGGCTTCAGCCCCTCCTCCTCTCACTTCACCTCAAGCTCAAGGTAAGGAAATGGCGGGGACAGTCAAAGCTCTAAATTACAAAATATCAGTTTCTCCCTCAAACTCACACTCACTCCTTCTTCCATCAATTCCTGCTCAACTTACCCTTTTCAATTCCCAACTTCCCAAGATTAATCTATGCCTCAATCCCTTTCATTCCATTCGTAATCCATTGGTTCTTCATTTGCAATCGCGATATCAGTTATCGTCTATCCGTGCCACTGCTGCATCCTCTGATTCTGTATGTATCCTTGTACACTAAGCTGTTGAATTATTTGTTATGATTTTTGTCTTAAAATTGGTGGGTATTAATTTTTTTTTTTTAAAATTAAATAAAGGCTGATAATGGCGAAGGTAAACAATCTGGGGATGCGTTGAAATGGGCGAGGCCGTTGATTGAGATTGCTAGCAACAATTTTCTACCATTAGGTAATGTCAATTTTTCTTCTCATGTTTTTGCTTTTGTAAAAATGTAATTTCAGTCTTGATTGTTTAGGTTAAGTTTATGATTATATGGGAATTTTATCATTTTGATTATGCTGATACCCAAGTGTTTAATTTCTTTTTTGAAACAAAAGAAAATTAAACACGTGGGTATCAACATATAAAATGGTTGGTGCTTCTTTTCCGGAAGATAAACCCCAAGCTTCTCATATATGTTGAATTACCGATCTCAACCATACACATTCGCGACTAGCCTCATGAATAGCTAAAATCTCAGGATGGTTAGAAGGAGTAGCAGCTATGGTTTGTTTCATGGATCGCCAAGAAATGGCAGTACCACCATAGGTGAACATATATCCTGTTTGTGATCGAGCATTATGTGGATCAGATGCAAAATCAATCAAATCTTCTTTGGACAATTTAGAAAAGAATAAACCCATATCTTTCGTACCTTGGAGGTAATGAAGTACATGTTTAATCCCATTCCAATGCCTCCAAGTTGGACATGAACTAAACCTTGCTAATAAATTTACTGAAACGATATGTCAGGTCAAGTATGGCTATCAAGGTACATTAATGCTCCTATCGCACTTAAGTATGGTACTTTTGGACCAAGAATCTCTTCATCATTTTCTCGAGGGCGGAATGGATCCTTCTCTACATCTAGTGATCTTACAACCATGGGATTACTCAATGGATATGCTTTATCCATAGAAAACCTTTTGAGAACCTTGTCTATGTATGTTGATTGATGCATAAGGATTCCATTCTTTAGGTGCTCAATTTGCAATCCCAAACAATTTTTTTTTTTCCCAAGATCTTCAATTTCAAATTCTTTCTTTAAGCATTCTACTGTCATTGAAATCTCTTCAGAAGTTCCAATTATATTCAAATCAGCAACATACACTACAATTATAACAAATCCTGATCCAAATCTCTTTATAAAAATGCATGGGCTAATAGGATCATTCTTGTAGCCTTCTTTCCACAAATACTCACTAAGACGATTATACCACATACACCTAGATTGTTTCAATCCATAAAGATATTTATTCAATTTAATAGAGAATTGGTCTCGAGAACTAGATTTTGCTCTTGGGAGTTTCATATAAATGTCATTATCTAGTGGGCCATACAAGGCGTAAGTCTAGTCCTTCTCTTATTGCCAAACTAATGAGAAACCCAAAAGTAGTTGCATCCACCACAGGAGAATATGTTTCCTAATAATCAATACCAGGTCTTTGTGAGAATCTTTGTGCAACTAATCGTGTCTTATATCTCACAACTTCACCTTTTTCATTTCTCTTTCGCACGAAAATCCCTGGCTTTACACCTTCCGGTGTATGGACTACAGGTCCAAATACTTTTCTTTTTGCAAGAGACTTTAATTCTGTTTTAATTGCTTCTTTCCATTTTGGCCAATCATTTCTTTGTCGACATTCATCAATAGACTTTGGCTCATGATCCTCATTAACATTCATGACATCTAATGCCACATTGCATGCAAAAGCATCATCGACGTCGATTTAGTTTCGGTTCCATGTAATTCCACACATGATATAATTTGTTGAAATTTCTTCATTATTAGGTACTTGAGTTACCTTTTGTATCATGTCTATGGTATCTTCTGTAGATTCTTCAGAAATTGTATCATCATTTTGGCCATCATCAACCATTGCTCCTTTCCTTTTTCGAGGATTCTTGTCTTTGGAACCTATTGGTCTTCCACGCTTCAGGCGTGCTTTAGACTCATTAGCAACTTCATTTTGCCCTTTTGGGACATCCATCTTGAATGGAGCATTTATAGCTGGAATATGTGACTTAGTCACTCTTTTTGGGTCAGCAAACGAGTCTGACAAATGATTTGCTAAACTTTGCAAATAAATTATTCTTTGAACTTCCAATTCACATTGCTTTGTTCAAGGATCAAGATGAGCTAATGATAACTCGTTCAGCCAATTTCTTTTTCCACATGTTTGTTTTCTCCCCCTAATGTTGGAAAAACTGACTCATTAAAATGACAATCAGCAAGTGGTAGGCTCAAGATATCTAATTATAGATGGAGATTCAAATCCAACATATATTCTTGACCTCCTTTAAGGACCCATCTTAGAGCGTAGGGGTGAAGCTATTGGAATATAAACTGCACATCCAAAAATTCTGAAGTGGGAGATATTTGGTTACCGACCAAAAACCATGATGGGGAGAATTTATTATAACTTGCTGGCTTGATGCAAATTAGTGATGCTGCATGTAATATAGCATGTCCCTAAGCAGAAATTGGGAGTTTAGATTTCATAAGTAACGGTCTAGCAATTAATTGGAGACGTTTAATCAATGACTCTTCCAAACCGTTTTGTGCATGAACATGTGCTAATGGATGTTCAACATCTATCCCAATGGACATGCTAATCATTAAAAGCTTGAGAAGTAGATTCACTAGTGATAGGAAAATTCGGAAAATGTGCTCTTAATTTAATCAATAGAGCTAGTAATCTCGCAAACGCTAGGTCAAAGATACATGTGACCATCTAGTCGATGCATCAATCAATACCATAAAATATCTAAATGGTCCACATGGGGGGCGTATGGGCCCACATATATCCCCTTGTATACGTTCCAGAAAATTAATTGATTCATAATTTATGTTAACTGGTGATGGACGTATAATCAACTTACTTTCCGAGCACGCAACACATGAAAAATTATTATGAAGAATCTGCCAGCTCTTCAATGAATGACCACAAGAATTCTTAATTATTTTTCGCATCATTATTAAACCGAGATGGCCTAACTGGTCATGCTAAACAACGAAGTCATAAGTAAACTTCTGGTTCACAATAGTGTGTGTCTCCATTGCATTGATCTTTGTGTAGTTCAATGAATGACCATAAGAATTCTTAATTATTTTTCGCATCATTATTAAACCGGGATGACCTAACCGGTCATGCCAAACAATGAAATCATCAGTAAACTTCTGGTTCACAATAGTGCGTGTCTCCATTGCATTGATCTTTGTGTAGTACAAATTGGTAGAAAATGTAGGCAATTTCTCTAAGATACATTTTGTGCCTTAGGGTTATATTAGTGATTTGAAGGAATTCATTGTTTCCTTCACTGATTGTCTCAATATGATAGCCATTATTATGAATATCTTTAAAGCTTAGCAAGTTTATTTGAGACAATGGGGAGTATAATGCATCAGTTATTTCAATTTTTGTTCCCAGGCAATATTATGTTAGCTCTTCCGGAGCCTTCAATTATATTTGTACTACCCGATATAGTACTCACACTAATCTTTTTCAAAATCAATTGAGAGAAATAATTTTTATGTTTAAGTATAGTATGAGTTTTTGCACTATCAGCAAGACACAATTGTTCATCATTTATTGCCAATTAAACTTGAGGAGTATTCATACTATATATTCAAAGAAATAAAATATGTCACAAAAATTAAACATGTCCAAAATAATAATAATAAAAAAATATGTCACATCATCAAAATAAAATAAAATATTTAAAATATTACAATATCTCATGAAACATATCAAATCATATTACAATCATAATGTGCATGAAATATAAATATAATCAACATAAGTAAATACTAGAGTTCTATAGCTAAATTCATACAACATAACCAATACATCATCAATTATTTATTTCGAGGGTAGTAAGAAAATCAGCAACTTCAAGATGAGTTGCATCGCCTCGCCATCTTCAAGTACAAGATTTGTCTCAACCTTCTTTCCTTTCTTTAGTGATTCTTAATAAAGCTCAACAAGGTGTTTTGGAGTTCGACACACACAAGACCAATGGCCTTTTACCCCACAACGAAAACAAATATTAGGATCATGTTTGACTTTCTCAACTTTATCATTTTTGCGTTCCCACTTTCGGTGGGAATGTGAGCTCTTAGAGTAACCTCCACGACCTCTACCATATCCACGTCCCCGACCACGGCCACGCCATTGACCGCGACCTTCGTCCTCGACCACTACTACTAGAATAGTCTTTATTTTGTGTTTCTTTCCCATCATGAGAAATCACATTCGCTTCACGGTGTGTTTGGATAAAGAAATGGGAAAGAAAAGAAGGGAAGGGAGGTGAGGGGGAGGGAAGAGAAAGGAAGGGGAGGGAAGAAAGATGAGTTTTCCTTTCAAATCTCTCCCCATTGTTGGAGAGATTAATTTCTTACAATTTTATCCTTCCATTTCTCTCCCCTCTAATTCCCTTCCTTCCTTATTTGTTATCCAAATGAAAGATAATCCATCCCTCCATTTCTCTTCCCTTCTTTTCCCTCCATTTCCTTCAATCCAAACAAAGAGTAGAGCCAATAAGACGAGATTCATGATTTTTCATTAACAACTCGTTATTTTGCTCGGCCACAAGCAAACAAGATATCAATTCAGAATATTTTTTAAAACCTTTCCCTCGATATTGAGTCTGTTGGACAATATTATTTGCCTGGAAAGTGGAGTATGTTTTTTCTAACATCTTTGCATTTGTAATCTTCTCCCCACATAATTTTAATTGAGAAGTTATTCTGAACATGGCTGAATTATATTCACTAACAGATTTAAAATCTTGTAATCTCGAAGTTTAACCAATCATAGCAAGCTTTAGGAAGTATAATAGTTTTTTTGGTGGTCATACCTTTCCTTTAGACTATTCCAAAGGATTTTTGGATCTTTACAGTGAGGTATTCATTTTTATGCCCTTCATGGAAGTGATGGCGAAGAAATATCATGGCTTTAGCTTTGTCTTGCAATGTAGCTTTATTACCCTCTTTGATTGTTTCACCAAGCCCTTTAGCATCTAAGTATATTTCAGCATTTAACACCCATGACAAATACTTTTTTCCAGTAATATCAAGTGCCACAAATTCAAGTTTGGCAAAATTCGACATTATTCACCATACAAGATAATAATCAAAATTAGGGCATTATAATGAATAAACATATTCATACAAACTAATCAAAATCAAGTTCTATAACAATCATTCACACTCACGTTAAAACAATAATAAAAAAAAAATGATGTGTATTAAATTAAACACAATTAAAGTCAAAAGCAAACAAATTGAAAACAAAATTAAATAAAAATAATTATGACCACATATGCAATAACAATTGGTGATCATCACAATTATACAATTACCAAATCACAAAGCAGCAAATAATATAAAAAGTTACAAAATCTAATACTATTAAATAATTTAAGTAGGAAACAAACAAAATTAAAACAAAATACACATAATCTGGAACAAAAATATTGATATGGACGAACATAGTAGGATTATAAGCATAGAAATTGACAATGGAATAAAGCCTATATAACCACTACCACTGAGTTAATGAAGAAATATTATTGTATGACAGTATGAGTAATGCTAAATAAACACATGTTCGGATATGCGATCAACAAACTAATCATTCACAAAAATAATCATAATACAAAGTAAACTTATATGATAGATGATTGCAGTGATTTAATTCTCTATGTTACTTTCTCTTTTTGATGCGTTTCCCTTGTGATTTGTCTTTGATTTTCGATGATAATAATATTTTGTAGCAATGGTGCTGATAGCGTATTATGAAAATAGAGAGAACGGATGAAAAATAGAGGGAAGAGAAAGAGAATATACCGAGAATGTAGAATATCATAAAACTGTATTATCCATCATCATCTTTTTAAATATTATGTATATACAATAATAACTACCAAAGGGATAATGATCAGACACTATTTTCACAACATGATATTATTATAAAAAAGATCATGTTTTCGTTGTTGTGCCCGAGATTCTAATCACTTTAATTTTAGTTCGATAAGAAATCTCAAAGATGTTGGAAGTAGCTTTGGATACCAATTATATAGGATTATAGGACCAAAAGTGTTCTAGGGAGAGATTAAATAAATCATAAACAATGGTGTTCCATATTAATGTACAGTTTCACAAACAAGGGGCCTTAAATTAATAGTTGACATAATCTTAAGTCTCACATCTTCCGGGATAAATTTGACTTGCCCTCATAATTAAAACTTTATTAATGATTTTAGGGTTCTTCTTAATCAGACAACCATCATGCTGAGAGGGATAAAAGATTGAGTGATAGGAAATGGGGTGAGGGTAGCGTGGTGGGTTATTCCATTAGGAGTCACGAATGAGGGGAGGGGAATGAATGTATTTATAATAAAAGCTTATTTTTGTTTTCTTATTAAATTTTTAACCTCACTGTTTTCTACAATGGATTTTGGGGAATAAGTAATGTAATGCTTTGAAATAACAACAAAGAGTTATTTTTTGAAATGCTAATTACTTTTTTCAGTAAAGCATGTTACCCTCTTCCAAGAATGTTGGTTGAAAAGCATTGCCACGTGTATAAGATGAATGTCGCGGAGATGTGTATGTTGTGATGGATGTGTGGCCAGGGGCGGATGTAGCTAACATTGAGGCTATGCACTTGCATACCCCTCAAATCATGTTAATTATTTATTTTTTGATGAGTTTGAATTAACAAAATATAGCATATATAGATAAGGGAATAGAAGGATAGTGGGTAGCTATTAAAATCTAATAAGTGTATTGAAGCAAATAGCATACGAAATATTATCTCCTCTAACTCTCTCTACTCATGTTCCCATCAAAGATTTTTAATTAACTGCTCTATACAAACTGCAATATGCAATTTATCAATCACCTGTACTCTTGTAGGTATATTTATTATTCCCTCACTTTCAAAATTAAGCGCTTGTTTCTATGATCATAGTCAAATATAAATAACCTTTACTACATATTTAATTCTCATTAATATATACAAAAAAAAAAAAAAATACTAGTATATTAAGATATTGTTGGATTTGTTTCAATAATGTGCTGTTTAGACGAAGTAATATCAACTTTATATAATTTTTGTCAACATATTGATGGTCAAATATCGCGTAAAGTGAAATAGACATTTAATTTGGGGATGGTGTGAGTTTTATGTAGAGTTTTATCTTGCAACTTTGAATTATATGTTGATTATTTAGCATTAGACTCATCTCATGATGTTATCTAAATTCCTTTATGTAGCTTTATTTTAAAACTTGGATACGCCACTGTGTGTGGCCATACAAGAAAGGATTGATTGAAGAATGAGATAATTAGGAGGAAAGTAAGGTTACATTGATTGAGTACAAAATGAGGGAGAATCGCTTAATGTGGATTGGCCATGTAAGAAGGAGACTAAGTGAGGCTCAGGTAAGAAGGCTTGGAGAGTTGCAAAGTGTTGGGACCGCGAGGGGTAAGGGAAGACCTAAGAAAACTTGGAAGAGTGTGATTGACAGTGGTATGAGTGTTTTGGGGATTGAGGAACATATGGTGTTGGATAGGGTGGTGTGGAGGGAGAAAATTCATGTCAACGACGTGTCATGATTATATATATACTTTTGTTTATTTTATCTTAGCATGTACTTTTATTATTTTACTCAATTTGTGTTTTATAAACTTTATGGATTTCCTTTGCTAAAGTTTTTTCAAACCATTATGTTGTTTTGTTGTCACGTTTTTACAATAAATTTATTCTTGGCACTCGTTCAAAACTCTCTTAAATTCACTGGGATGCTCTTTCTTTTTCTCACTCTACACACCTTTTATCAAACTTTTTCTACCAGTTATCTTGTTATGTCCTTTTTTTCTTTGTTGGATGGTTCCTTATGACGATTCATGTTAGCCATCCCCAAATTGTTTTGGGACTAAGACTTTGTTGTTGTTATTACTTTTGTCTCCAATGTAGAAAATGCAAAAACTGGGGGTACTATAAAAAAATTCTATTTGAAAATGTTTTTTAAAAAAAATAAATTCATGTCCCTTTTTAGCTCAATAGTGCTGCATATGTCTCTGCATGGTTTATGTCCTTTGTAATCATTTTCAAATAGTTGCTAGTTATATCTATTCATCTATTTCCTTTTAGTTAACATGTGTCTGAAGTTGCGTGGGAGCTGATAATTTCTTCTTAAACTTTGCAGCTCTTATTGGCGGTGTTTTTCTCGGACTAGCAAATCCTGGCCTTGGCTGTGCTGCTGATAGGTACTACATGTCAAAACTGAGCACGTTTTGTATATTCATAATTTCAGGTGAGTTAGGGTTGGTACTTTTTGTCCTGGAACTTCATGTTGTTTTGTTGATGGAATTCTTTTGTTTCTGATTTGTAGGTTTAACTTTACGTAGTCAAGAAATTGGAGCAGCTACCAAAGCATGGCCTGTTGGGATATTTGGCTTGGTATGTCTCTTGAATAACTAAGATATTGTGTAGGTGGTTGTTTCGTTGTAATTTGGAGTTACATATTTCAGGAAGTGTCAAATTTAAATTGATTGGTTATGTTACAGTAAGAAATGTTTGTAAAGTACAAGGAGTTTTACTTATTTTGGAGGGGTTAGGTAATCAGCTTCATTAGTAGCAGGGAAGGTATAATTCCTGCATTTTTGCCCTAACTAAACAAATCTATGACATTTTTTAGATATTGTAGATAAATCACAAGTTGGATTATTTTTCGAATTCAATTTGAAGCATAGCTGGGTTTGGTTTTAAAATTCCTTATTAATGGCTCCTTTTTTCTGTATTATCTGCTTGTTTAAATGTAGTTCAGTGATATATGATGAAAGTGTTTGTTATAGTTTTTGTAATCTTTTGGACTAAATTGATTTATTTCATGGCAATGTGCTGACACTTGGCTGAAGTTTTTGTAATTTTGATATCAATTGAATATGCAGGATTGTGAGTAGTTTCTTGTGTTAGTAATTTAATTATCTGTTAATGCAGGCGTCTATTTTGCTCTTGACACCAGCATTTGCAAGGATTATTTTGCTACTTAATCTTCAGCCTCCAGAATTTGTGACTGGTACTTGTTTTCAAATTTTTTTACATTTAGTATACTGTCTACTTGTTTATGGTGAGAATCATGTTTGCTATACAATATCAAAATATAAGCTGATATGTAAGACAATGAGACATAGACCTTACTGGGTTAGAAGTGTATTCCCAGAGAAGCTCTCTTCGGGAGGACCTAATGGTTGAAGTAGGTGTACAATATATTTTCATTGGGCAGGCTGAGTAATTTTATTAAATCCTCTAGTCGAGCATCTCTTTGTATTAATTGTATGTATTGAGGATTCTTTTTGGGTGTCGCGAGGTGTCTTGAGAGCATCTCCAAGGTATCTAAATGGTTATGAGTCTTGTGATAATTCTTTTTCTTGTGAGAACCAAATTGGCACGAGTTTTAGAGAAATCATGTATGGTTTTTTAATAAGGATTTTTTTAATGACCTTAGTACCTTATTGGTGTGTGTACCTCCTTGAATTTACCGAAACCTCTGTGTTTAATTGATGAGGACTATGAAAGTTTTCTATGACAAGGGAAAACTCATATACTCAAATTAGGCACTCAGTTTGTTAAAATTTGTGCCTCAGATGTCTTTGTCATCTCATGGTTAGGTTTAAAGTTTGTGATGAACATGCATAAGGTAGGGTTTTGGCCTTTTGGGTCTATTAAGCCTTACTCTATTACCTTTTCCCATCTCATCACCTAAAAAGCTCTGAATTTCTTTTTTTTTTTTTTTTTTTTTTTTTTTTTTTTTTTTTATTGGGGAGATTTTAGTTTTTTTTTTTTATTAGAGCTTCTCCAATGGTAAGCTAATTGTTGAATTAGCTTGCCTTACCACATAATATTATAATTTAATTTACATTTAAGCTGTTTTGTACCACAGTGGTTAGCTACTAGTTTTTTATTTAGTTTAGTTCCACATGTCAATGAATACTAGGCTAGCATTCTCTATCTTTATGTCAAGCAAATTAACTTGCCCAAGCTGATTTTCGTTTTTAACTCCAATGGTTAAGCTAGTAGATTTGGACTTTTGAAATTTGCAAACAAGTCCCTAGTACAACCATTTGAGTTGCTCTAAAATGTCTAGATTAGATGAAGTATATATTTAAGGGGAGGAGTTTTCATGGCATTAAAATAGAATTGCTGTTTCTCGGTCATCTGGTCAGTATTTTCTTAGAGCAAGGTCTTCTATTTTGTCTATGTGAAATGGGATTTTGATTTGTGCTTTACTGTGGTGAAATGTTTAAATGTTCAGGGGCAGAGGTTTGGATGTAATTCAGCATTCATGCATGCAAGATTCCTTCTTTAGCTTTGAACGAGGATACCTTTATAAGATGAGTGTTGGACTTTTCAGTATTAGGAGAAAGGGGAACCTGATTTTTGAGATTTGTTAAAGGAAGTGTAGGATGAAAGGTAGGCAATGAAGAAGTAGGAGTAGAAGAGACATCGTCCTTGCCCATGCTGAAGCAGCGGCATAAGACCGTAAGTTATGGTAGAGAAAGGTATTGCACGGAAGGGAGAAAAAGAATGTATATGGAAGGTAGGGTTAGGCTGCGATACCATGCAAAATGGTGTATAATTCCGTAAATTAGGAATTGTATGTCTTCAACATGTATCATTACATCGAGTCCTTATGGAAGCACAAAATCGTCAATATAATACAAATTTTTTTCATATAATCTGTAGAATATTTCCTATTCTAACAATTTTGTTCCCTATAGATGTGCTTGTCTTTTCCTTGTTAATACTGTGCTAGGGCTATATTTGCTGACTTATGGTTAGAGTAGTTAGCATTCTTAGCATACCTGAGTGTAAACTAGCTTATCCAGACAGTATTTCATACCCAGATATGGCGGCATTTTTTCCAAATTCGAGTAACACAGTAGGCAGTAGCATTTTGTGAAAAATCCATGATTTTGAACTAAAAGTGAGGTGTCCAAGTTTCATACTCATATCCAAGTGTCAAGGGTCCGACATGGGTACTTGAGGTAACATGAATAGTCCATGTAACATAGGAGCCTCCAATATGGCAGTTATAATTATATTTAAAATTGTATTTGGCTTGTTCAAATATATTAATTTGTACTTTTTATAGGTTTAGCCCTTTTTGCCTGCATGCCTACTACATTGTCGAGTGGGGTTTCACTTACTCAAGTATGGTAAAGCTTTTGACGTTCGTTTGATTTTTTTTTTTTAATAAAAACCCATATGCGTTTTTATCAGATGACATTTGTTTGGAACAATGCAGCTAGCTGGGGGAAATTTTGCGTTGGCTTTGGCAATGACCGTGATATCTAACTTACTAGGAATCTTAGTTGTAAGTTGTGTAACCTTTTTCACCGTCATAAAATTTCTCATTCGTTGGTTTTTGATATGTTTGTTATGCAGATTGCAGCCTTTTTATTGTATATCTTAGCAGCTTATAATATGATTTATAGAATTTTTTGACCTCGTAATTCGACCACCATCTGCAACACATAAACTGTAGTTTCTTTTATGAATATTTACAAACTGTTGTCGTTTATGGTTATTTCTGTCTTTTCTGATCTCCAATCATTGGGAGAGAGTGGCTTATCATAAACAACTAAAGATCGTCAATAGTTGATTCAAACATGATTGCAGATATTTGAACATTTTGATCACTTTAAGGAATTTAGGAAAAATATTCAAACATTTGATCAATTTGGAAAAGGCTGATTGTGATAACTGTGGTTACTTGTAACTTGTAAGGTTGTAATCATATAAGGGAAACACTGACACATGGAGCTTTTGAAAATCGTTCATGGAATCAGTAGGTTGAAGCTTAGCTTTCTTTCAGGTTTTTTTTGGATGTGTGCTATCAATTTCAGTCTTTTCTACCAGGCCATTTGGCCTGCCCAGTGGAGCTCTTTTTAAGAGCAAGAAAATAAGTGTCCTGCTAATTAAGTATTCCCATTGTCCCTATTTAAAAGCTTTGCGTTTTGCCAGTTTCTTAGGTGGAAATTGTAGAGCTATGTGTATGAAACAGCTGATTTGGTGGCCTTATATGTCCATTTGGTGTTTATTTTGGTCTCTTGTCAATTTTAACAAAGCTGTCTCTGCCAGGTTATTCAGAAGATCTGGGTTCTTGTAAATCAAGATGACTCACTTCCTACAGTATGCAAGGAAAGATTGGGAAAGAGAGAAGGGGGGGGGGGGGGTTGGTGTCTGCCAGTTTTCTTACAAGTTCTGGATTCTTGTAATTTGAGATGGCTCACTTTCTGGTGAATAATCTTACAAGGAGAGAGTAGGCGAGGAGAAAATTGGAAAATAGGGGGAGGGTGAAACTGTGAAAGAGTCATTGTAAGAACATTGTATATAGTTCAGTCTTCAGTCTATGTTTTTCAAGTAATAGGACTCTGTTTATTTTATCTCTTTTCGGGATTTTCTTAATACGCTGAACCCATCAATTTGTATTTAGTAGTGAGAGGAAAAAACTGGGTTTAGTGGTGATAATATAATTTTCATTTCCCATATGATTGGCTTGTCCTTTGCATAATATAAAGGCTCCCACGACAGTTCCATTTTTTGCCTTTTAGTTTCTTACTGAGAAGTGGTTGGCCAAATATGTTTTTTATCATTAAAAATTTGTACACTTGCAAACCAACACCCAAATCCTATGTCTTTGCATTTGCGTGCATGTGTCCACTTTGTACACATGTATCTAAACATCTATGCATATTTTAAACTCTTTTTTTCCAGAAAAGTGTTCATAGTTTGCTGCTAAAACTCCCTGTTTTTACTCTTTAGGTGCCGTTTACAATCACAAAATATGTAGCTGCTGGTGTTGGCATATCCATTCCAACTAACCAATTACTTAGGAGCCTTGTTATCACACTGTTGATTCCGTTGATCTTGGGAAAGGTACTTTTCTTCTCATCTAATTTTGCTGGACATATGTAGTAGCTAGTTTATTATGGTTACTGCAGGGCTTAAGGATTTATTGCCATTTGCTTAAAACTTTGCTATGCATCATACTATTTGCGAGGTTTGAATTGCAAATGTTGATGGTTGATATATATCAAACCTAATGTGGAATTCTATGTATTGTTGAAAATATCTGTATTGGTCAATTAATATATGTACTGTATCGTATCGTATTTGTAACATCTGAGTACATTCATATGCTTCATGAAAAGATAGTATTGCATGCACATGGATATTTGGGGAGAAGACTCTGCTAAGGAGACAGAATGATGGATGCTAATAATATTGAATGGGAATACTTTGGACAATTTTTTTTTTTTTTAAAAAATACTTCCTCCAATTTTTTTTTTTTTTTTTTTTTCAACATCGAGGATTTCATGCTTGCCAATGGACATTTTATAACATTAATATCTTATATTATGTTTCAGTAAAAACTATGAAAGTTGATAGTTTGAATCTGAAAGTATATATTTCGAGATGAGTGCACGAGTCTAACAAGATCCCAAATGACTATATTTTTTCCAATGTATAAATCACAAAAGACAATTAAAAGAGTGTGAATAGTGTAAATTTCCAAACGTTGTGCACGTGAATAGTGTAAATTTTCAAAAGCTGCAATTAAACAAGAACGGAGGAAGTATAACCAAGGTACTTATCATTTAAGCAGTTTGATATTTTACTTATCTATGATGGAGCAGATATCCCTGTAAAGTTGAGGGTGAGGGGGGGGGGGGGAAGTGGGTAGCATGTACATTGTGTGACCCCTACATAACAAAGAAGCAGCTTTCAATTGACTGTAAAAACTGTGAATCTTATAGTTCCACCAAAAGAGGACATGATGGATCACTTGTGTGAAAAAAGAAGTGAAATGTTTGGACTATGAAGTTCTGGCCTCTCCCCTTGCACAGACCAAGGAGAGCCAGGGTATTCTTCGTAGATTTAGGAGTTGCTAAGTATTTGCTTCTGGCTTTTGATTCAGAATTCTTTCTTTGTTGTGGACAACTCCATATGTAACTGATTTCTCTTTTCCTGGAGTGATTGTGATTAAAACTGTAGCCAAACTTCTATTACTAAAGCTGAAGTATGATTAATCTTCTTTTGCAGATAGTCCGAGAATTGTTCAAGGGTGAGTTCCTTCATCATCTTTCTTAAAGATTTGATCTTGTATGTGTGTTTCTGTGTAGATAATATTCCTTTCTGTTCCACAGAGTATACTGTAGATGATGATTATATCTTGTTGAAATTTTCTACATTAGTCAATAAATAAAGATTTTATAAAAAATCAAGACCTTTGAAACCGATTACAAGGAAGCAGCAAAGTCCAATTTATGAAGGAGTGGAGTCTTGTTGAAATATTTATCTAAAATATATTTACTTCGATTTAATTCATACATTTAGTGATTTAAATTTCTGTTATAATATCTTAACACATTTCAGTGTTAGTTACAGTGTATACATCAGTTTAAGTAATGATACTTTGTAGTCAATTTGTAAAAACTATTTTGGCTGTCCCCTTAACTTGAAAGAAGGTTGATTTGATTTTTGTAAGGTCTGATCTCGTGTGGCCTTCTTATTTGACTAAACATTGACCATATTTGTACTTTGTAAATAAGAACAATATCAAGTGGAGTCTTGTAATATGTTTTTATTTATTTATTTTCCAAACATCATAATTTTAGTGGTACCAATTTAAAGAGATTTAGCAATTAGAATATGAAGATAAGAAGTTATGCTCATAAATAAGCTGTAAGTTCTTGATAAAAGTTGAAGAGATTATAACCTTAGTTTTGATGCTGGCCGTTTTGCTTGTCTTGTAATCCGATAGCCGTTTTGTGTTGTGAAATACTTATTGGATTGCCAACTGCTATGTGAATTTAAATGAAATTATTGAGTAAGCCCGTGCTTCGTAATCAATTTGCGGAGAATACTAGTCTTATTTTTAACTCTTTGTTGCTAATTTTGATGCTGGATATTATGAGCTGATCTTTTTCGTTTATAAATGTGAAGCAACTATATATATACTATATGCATAACTTTTCACTATCCCTTTTGCGTTTAAATGATAAATTTCTAGGACTTCTAGCTCATTCCAAAAATATACTTTCTCGTTTGATTTTCACTTGCAACGCTTTTCATTTCATGCTTGCCAATGCATTTATTTCAATTGTTAGAATCTTTAATTATCAGTGAGTTAAAAAAAAATTCAAATTTTGATATTATGGAAGTATAAATTGAGGCAAATCTGACAACTTCCCTCATGGCTATCTTTTCCTTAATTATAAATCATCACAGCTAATCAAAGTAGAGTTGTGAATAGTAACATAAGTCAAACTATTGTAAGTAAAAAGAAACGGAGGAAGTACATTTTTTGTATATTTGTTATATCCTGGGAGGGTTGCCATTGTAAAGCCTCTCCGCTACTTAAAGGGACAATATTTTTCCTTAGGGACAGTCTATTTGGTGTGAGCATGTGACTCGTTGGTATCCTATTATCTCATGTTATTTGAATTTCCATAGCATACATCCATACTGTACCTTTCCTTTTTTGTATCATCTCTTTGTAATTTTTGGTTATCCTATTTTACTAATCTCATTGATTATTTTATACATTAATTGACTATGGGGCTCTATGTCGTCATTATGAGATGGTCAGGTGTAGCAGATTTTGCAGATAGTAACCGCAAGCTTCTGTCAAACATGAGTGCACTTTTTCTTGGTTTTGTAAGTTCGGAACTTGCCCTTATCTTCTCATATGCCCCCATAACTAATGGAGACTACTTAAAGCTAAAATCAAATTTCCTATTAAGAAGTCTCTATTATGTTGACATAGCTTTCTGATTTCATATAATATAATTTTGAGTTTGCCCCTACATTATACTACCTCCCTTCCTAAAAGTTCTTTACACTCGTGAATTAAAAATATATAGGGTTTCGGATCCGGTTAGAATGTGTCCCTATGTGAGAACATTATATATACCTATATGAGAACATTATATATGCTTATATGAGAACAAATATAGACTAATGGACTAACTTAGATCTAAAAGTTGATATTGAACGCTTGTCATTAATGACATAGTTGTGAATAAAAAGACAATGTTTCTCTCTTTTAGAATGGAACATATAGCAATTTAGAACATGGAAACTCAAGCAACAAACTAAATAATGAACCTCTCACTCTCCAAAATCTTCTCTCCATGTATCATCAATTTTGTCTCTAAAGATCCTCGAATTTTTAAAAATAATATCTTGAAATTTCTATAGAATTACTTCAAAAATTCTTTGCTACTCAAGTTTGTTGAAAAGTAAAAACCCTAGAAAATTGAGTTTTCCCTTGCCAGAAGTTGGTCTTCTTGGTACAAACAAAATGTTGGGTCAACACTCTAAAGAGTCAGCAACAACACTTTCAAAGTCTTCATCATCCTAAAATAAAAGGATTCATTAAAAAGAGAGAAAAAAGAGGTTGAGGCTTACAAGTTGTATGTCAGTAGGAATGGCGGGGAAATTCTCATGGTTTAGATCGTTGTCCTCTACATCAATAATGTTTGGTAGCCTCTTACTCCTTCACTTATGCTTATAATTGACATCAGATTCTCCATTACTAGAATTTTTTCTAAGCCATCGTCGGTTTAGAGTTGCCTTTCTTAAGAAGAATGTCATGTTTTTTCTTAGCACCAGGTCTCTGAAGAGCACAAGTGTTACTAACATGTTTTTTGCTCTTCCTAGACTTATTGTGATCTACTTTGAGCAAAGGATGTCAACCCTGTCTCTAAAATCAGTAATTGTCACTTTAAGGGTTGTAAGATCGTGCCAATTAAGTGAAAGGCAAGGAGCCAATACTCTAGAAACACTATCTTATTTACTAAAAGGCAAAGAGTCAATACTCTAGATAGATTATCTTTAAATAAAATCAGATCCATAGTAACTTGCAGATTGAGGATCATTTATAGCACGACTTAGCATACCTCCTGACAAAACCGAATTGTTTGCCGAAGTGATGAGGATTTTATGGCCCTATGTAAATTTTGTTACCTAGATGCAAAGGGATTTAGATGGAACGAAGAGAGATGGGATAACTAAATTGTTAAGATGATACGGGATTAAATAGGTCGTCACAATTCACCCTTAATCAAATACAATTTATAAAACCTAAAAAAACCTAATACGAGTATAAGTCAAGCATAGGGGTCGAACATAGGGAACAACTAAACATACCATTATTGTCAACAATTAAGCTAGGCTAGTCCGGGATAAAGATTAGGTATTCTAAAGTCTAAAGATGCTAATACAGGAAATAGAAACAAGCTAGAAACAAAGAATGAAACACTAAGGGAAATAGCTTAGGTGTAGCGAATCACACAAGCATGATCAAAGCATGAAATTGAATCAAAGCGTGAACTAAGCAACTCATGTTCAATGATTCAACACACAATCTAGCTACGGCCAATTGACCATATTGGTATAAAAATTAGCATCCTTGTGACATATTGGTATAAAAATTATCGTCAGCGACATATCGGTATAAAAGTTAACAAGTGGCGACATATTGGTATAAAAGTTAACCAAGTGGTGACATATTGGTATAAAAGTTAACAAATGACAGCACATTGGTATAAAAGTTAGCGAGTGACGACATGTAACCCTTTCTCTAACCAAAATAATAAGTGCATATTGTACACATGATTTATTCTTATTCTTGTAACTTTGTTCTATTGTTTTTTCTGTACCTTTTTTTGCTTCAAATATTCATTGAATTATTTTTTAAACATTATTAAATGTGAAAAAAAAATCCAAAGAATAAAAAAAGAAGGAAAAAGGGAAGTATGAGAATATAGAGGATTAATTATGATTAAGCATAGAAATTAATTTAGAAAAATTATAAGATTGACCTTTGATTACATAATTTGAGATTACATTGAGCTTTCAATTTTTTTGCAATATTCAATATTATATATAAATAAATTTTTTCCCAACTTCTTAATTATTAAACTAACATGCCAATTTCGAGACGTTAAATCAAAAGAATTTATCTTTCCTTTCATTTTTTGAGTTTTTTGTTTGATCTTACAATTTTTTTTTAATTATTTGCTGATAATCTTAGGTGCATGGGCGTGGAGGAGATAATTATTTGTCGTTAATAATGAGTATTAACAACGAAATTTTTTTCAAATATTAAAACTAAAATAATAATAAGCACTTACTTTGGCAAGAAAAAAAGGTTTAAATGTCACATCTTGTTAACTTTTATACCAATATGACATTGTTTATTAAATTTTATACCAATTTGTCACTAGTGCTAATAAATTACTAATATGTCACAAAGGTGCTAACTTTATACCAATATGGTCAATTGGCCATCTAGCTACCTATCGGAGCTAATTGATTTCTCAACTCAAATACAAACCTACACTATTGCCATAAGCTCATTACAATTCAAACAAATCATTCAATGGACATTCCTAGATTACACTTTCGTCATAATGTAGTTCAATCCATCCAACTCTTGGCTACTCAAGAGAAGTAATTGGTAAACATGGAAAATAAAGCATTTTAATAACAAATTGATTAATCCCAAACCCTAAAACATGCTCAAGATCCAATTACACCACCACCATCCCCTTAGTTGGGGACTACTCACTAATCATGCCAACAAGGTTAATCAACAAATTAACAAGCATCAACATGATTAACAAGCAAATAAGGAAAATAAAGCAAGTAAATAAAGAGTTAAGGGAAAGAAATTACTAATAGAGCTTCATTAATCTTAAAAAAGTTGATTACAAATCATCCAAAATCATGTGATTAAGTGTTTTCTCTCTCTAGAATTAGGCTAAGAACCTTAAGATTAAGCTAAGCTAAGTTAACGTCTTCACTTAAAGCTTATATAGCCCATACAAAACTAGGTTATATAACCGGGCAATGGTTCGGTCGAACAGAGGGTGGGTTTGGTCGCACTTCCTTGTGCTAGGTTCGGGCGAACTTTTCGACAGTTTCGCTGAACCTCCAAAGATAAAAAATCATCAAACAGCTTGCTCGAAAGATCGGTCAAACTTTTCAATAGTTCGGTCGAACTTTTCAACAATTCGGCCGAACCTCTTGATTCGGGCGAACCTCTAGCTTGTGAAGCTTTCTTCTCTATTCTTCACCTCTTCCCTTAATCTTTGTGCCTTCTTGAACACTTGAAAGCTCACCTAGAAACCTCTAAGTGCTTCAGAATGCCATGGAACCTACAATAAGGCAACAAGACTACAGGAGAAAGGGAATGATGAAAGAATACATAAAAAAATCATTAAAAATAAGTATGAACATGTATATTCTTCATTAAATAAACGAGAGTGCCACAAGAGTATCATTGAACTAGAAAAACCTAAGGAAACAAGAAAAACTAAGCATAAATCCTGGTGTAAGAGTGACATAAATGTCACTCATCAAACTCTCTCACGCTAGGCTTTTGCTCGCCCTGGAACAAAGCAAGGGTAAAACACAAAAGAGGATGATCAAGTTATTCAAATAAGAGAAAGAAAAGGAGAAATCGTAGTTGCTTTTAACAAAAGCAACAAGCCATTTAAACCCTAAAATCGTTAATGAGGACGAGTATGCTCTCGTGAGGGTTTTAAAGAGGTTAACCCATAACTCTTGCAAAACATGTTCAAGACAAACCAAAACAAAGAAAAGAGGGAACAAAGGGAAACAACAATCACTACACAAATCATGATCAAATTGAACTTTTAAAGATAGCAAGCATAAATGAATGACTAGGTTTGTAAGCAATAGAAGTGAGCACGCAAGAAGATACCAAAGGTTGGTTGAAGGATAAACTATGCTAAGCATAGAGAACTCTAACATGCTCCACTCCCCTCGCATTCCAAACTTTCTTACCGCGTCCTCTCATCTAAATTCAAATCCACCCTTCAAGTTAGCATCTCTGGACTCTACAAAGGAGCCTAAACAAAGATAAGTCAATGAAGACAAGGGGAACCCGACATCTTACCAAGTCATGCCATAGAATAAAAATGTGGTATTGGTCGCGATAGCGGAAACGGTCGCGGTACCACGGTATCGGAATTGATGCGTTAGGCGCGGGCTGGGTTTTGGTTGTAGCGGCAGAATTTTGTTTTAAATTTATTAAATAAAAAACTATATAATAGAATTTTATTTTATTTTAAATCTAAATTTTATAATTAATCAACCCTAAAAAAATTTGAACTTCACTAAAAAAAATAGGAATACGAAGGAGTCCATCATATTACGTCTAGAGTTGTACGCAATAAATTAAAAACCCGGCAAGTGGAGAGGTCCACAAAAGTATCCACGAGGGGATGTTTGATTTTAAATAAAGAAAAATTCTACACCACTATCCCCAATTGAGGGAGTTTATTTAAATAAAAAAAAACCCTCAGCTCAAAGAACTCTCACGACTTTAATGGAGATTTCTCCATTTTTTTTCCCTTTCTTTTCCTTTATAAAACAAGAACTTCATCGAAAATAAACCGGCTGTGATATAATATCGGTCAATGCGGGCGAAATTTAGTTTCTATTGGTTGAATCGGCCAAAATCTCGACGTTTTAAAAAACACCGCATCAAAGCGGCAAATCTCGGATCGGTAGCTTTGAAATCCAGTACATATTGGCCGCATTTCTATACTATGGTCATGCTCCCTCCACATGCTTGAAATCTAGCTCTCTCCACCAACTAGTGACTCAACTAACCTAAGTCAAAAGGCCTTTAAGAGGGTTGTAATATAGGTTAGGGGGTAAAGGTGTGGAAGAATTTGGAAATTGGCGCTAAGCCTAATTGTGAAGGAAAGGGTGATCAAGCCTCTATTTCAAAATAAAACATTTCCAATTTTCAAACAAGATTACCACAAACTTTAACCAACTTGCAAGACTACTATTGAAACTTTAATTTCTCTTCACCTTTTTTCATTTTCATTTTTTTTGACCATTTTTTTTAGCTTTTGATTTTGTCAACTTTATTGCATTGTCCTTGCCCTTTATAACTATGGACAACTTTTTCTTAAATTTGCACTTGCTTTATTGAACGTAAATATTCACAAAACACAACCTCACTTTCCATTCCAAACCATCACTTTCCAAATTTTCAAACTAAAGTTAATACAAACTTTCATGATACAAAAGCTTCACAATTCTAAGGGTGAAAAATGAAACATAAAGGGCCATGAGGTTTGTAATGTGCTTATAAATAAGGAGGGATAGGCTCAACATGGCTAGCAAGGGGAAAATGTAAACAAAAATACAAAGGAGCAACAAAATAAAAGCTATTCCTTGAAAAACAAAAATAGTCGCCGAAAGGAAAATGCCTTTGTCCTCCCTGTATTTAGTTCGGTCGTGATCTCGGGTATCTAGATGTTAAGTTCTCGATTTAAGCATGCTTTGGTAAAGATCCTATGCCACTCATACAAGAATGTTGAAGGCTTGAATAAGGAAACTCATATTGGGTTACAAAAACTACCTTTAAGACTTCAAATCCCTTAATAAGAGCAACACCTTCTTACCACAAACAAATGAAATTAGGTTTGGTGGGCCTTGCGAGTTCTAACACGACTACTTTAACGTAAGCGTATCCTAGAGTCAACCAATGGCAATCCCGAAGCGTGCAAACTCATAATACTTAAGAAGAAAGGAATTTAAACACACAAGTCCATCTTTTGTTATGCCCAATTTTAAAATGAAGCAAACAAAATTCACGTGGTTTGTCTTGAACAAAAGAAAATCTTTTTCTTTTTTCAAATTTTCATTTTTTTTTCTTTTTTTAGGGAGCAAAGAAAAACATTCGAAGAAGCATGCAAAACAATTAAATCCCAATAGTTAAACAAAGGTTTCGGCCACAGCACCAACGACCACCAGGTTCCATAGAACCAATGCATACATCCTCGAATCATTAACTTTGTTCTAGCTACAACCTAATCTAAGCACACATAAGGGAATAAAGAGTAGGAAAAGGAAGGGCCTCACCCAATGTCGCTTGAATTGGAATAGAGCAAATCTTACAATCTCACCAAGGTTTTCGAAGCTTAAATCGCTCCTAAGCCCAACTCTTTCATGCTTCCAATCTTCAAGCTACAAGGCAAGGTATGCAAAAAGAAAACACTACAACTATACACAAGAAAAGTTAGTAAACAAAAATAAAGAATTAAAGTTATAAACATTCTTGGCAAGTTGGTTAAAGTTTGTGCTAATGAGCATTCAGGTTTATTAGGCACAAATTATGATTTTGCCTAGAGGACTATTAGAGAAAATAAATATGATATGCAGAAGTTTTTTACTGCATGGTGGACGTTTGTTCACGTCCCAAGTGGACGTTGCAACGATTGTCGAATCTGTAGACGTGTGCCAGTTTTAGGGTCATCATCCTTTTGGTCAACAAGAGAAATTTAAATTCGAGAGCCTTCTTTGGATTCAGTAATGTGCACTATGATCAAAGACTACAAACAAAACACAAAAAAAATTAAAAATGCGAAAGTCATTAGAGTGTGCTTGACATGGCACGTATACTACAAGTCTGTCATGGCTTCTCATATTGGAATTTTGATTAATCGAGTCTTAGGATGTCAAGTTCATAACAACCAGCATCCTGACTTCACATCCCTGATGGGCTCATATGACTGGCATGCCAACCGTTGTCCTCACTACTTCATTAAACCAATCAATAGATATTAAGTTCGTGATAACTAGCATCCTGACTTAACATCTCGGATGGGTTCATAATGACTAGCATCTTGACACATCGCGACGGTTGTCTCCAAATCTTCAAGTCAACCATGTCTTAAAATGATAAGTTTACAATAACTAGCATCATGACTCAACATCTTTGATTGTCATGTGTGCATATAGAAACAATGTTGAAAATAAAGAAATCCAGTTACAGCAAATACATACAGTATGTGTTTCACTTAATAGATTTCTTTAGCTTTTGAGTGGAAATTAACGAGTATTAGGGAACCAAAGGTACTGCAAGTTACCAAACAAAGACAATCATGACTCTTGTGATCAATTTAATTCACCTTACATTGCAATATAATATTTAAAAATTTCAATTGTAGACACCAGCGATTAAGGGGAAAAAAAAAAGAAAAAAAAAAAAAAGAAAAGAAAAGGACGGCAATACAGCAATACACTAGGGATTAGGAAATCATCAAGTCATGCACTCACGCAGAATATATATACAAATTTTGTGACTGATAAAATTATAAAGTATAAACCTACCTTTGGTGACTATATTAAAAAAAAAAGAGATATCAAGCATTAAATATGGAGTGGCTGGAGCATATATATTAAGACTGACCTTGATAATTGATTATTGATGATCACAAAGTTCACAGGAACAAGACAAAATTGCTTTCAATGAAAAATACTTACTGTAGGTTATTTGGCTTCGTGAAGACCTTGATTGATGATGAAATGACCAAAGTTTTTAAATCTTAAAGCAGACTCATGAGGGGCTTCATTTGGAGATAGAAATAATAGAAAAAGAAGAGGTAATGAATTGAAGGGTACTTACCTCTGGTATGCTTTAATTCGGTGATGTAGTGGTATTGAAGATCATTGCTTTTTATAAGTTATGTGAGGCAAGAGATCATTGCTTTTTGTAAGTTGTGTCCCCAAGTATTCCCATAAACCAATCCAATACCAAAAATATTCAGTATGTTGGGTCAACACCTTGTCATGCTCTCACGCCAAAATAGTTTAAATTGTGTATGTGACACTATCTCGAGTGGGCAATATGTACGCACGGCAGTTTTACTAGTGTACTACATTAAATTATATAAATTAATTAGGGTTAAAATCATTTTAATAACCCATTTTAATTATCTTCTTGCTCATCCAAATAAATAATCTGAATTAATCAAATACAATTTAGGTTATTAATATTTGGGTTATTACAAAAGGGTTCACATCTCCTATAAGTACACCCTTCCTCCTTCAAGAGCTCATAAAACAGTAAACAAGCACATTAAATTCATGCTGACTTGGTCAGATACAATCAAGCACATTCGAACCGGATTAAACTTAGGTCATATCAATTTGTGGAACAGAATAAGAGGAATTAGTTTATTATAAACTATTATACAGAAATTGTACCTAATTCAAATACCAATTAAAGTTTACTCCCTTCGTACTTTATTACTTGCTTATTTCTCCGTGCACGGAGTTTAAGGAGAAATGGTAGAAAGTAATAAAATACGTAGGAAGTGGGGTTGGTGGAAGAATAAAGTATGATAGTTGGGAGGAGAGAGAATATAGAATTATTAAAGTATGATAGTTGGGGGTCCATTAGAAGAGAAGAAATTAGTTAAATATTGTGAAAGGTTTCCAAAAAAGGAAATAGAGCAAGTAATAAAATACGGCCGTAAAAAGAAAGTGGAACAAGTAATTAATAAAATACAGAGGGAGTATTTGTTACTTTATTATCTGTCTTTATTTATTTATACTCGAAATTTGTGTAAAAAGTAGGTTTTTCAGGTTTTGTATATTTTTATTTACTTCACAGCTCAATTTTTAAATTTAATTTTTGAAGCATTATTTTCACGACATTATTTGTTAGGCTATGTTTCTACCGTCTTGAAAAATATGTGTATAAGTAGCATCGTGTTCAGTTCAGTTACTCGTTCACTGGTGAAGTTACAAAGCCAAGTGTTACTACCTATTCAATATAAATTCTATTTTTAATTATTCGTATTATATCCCCAATTATAGCCAGTTTGGATTCTTTTTATCAGAATTATGTATTTTGTATTGAACATGAAATGCATCCAATAGTACCTTTTGCATTATAGCTGCTGTGGCAGGTTCACACATTTTTCTATTGACAAAAATGACATTAGAAGTTGAGGCTGGCTCTTATCAATGTTATCATGCCATATTACTAATTACTTGTCATGATTCCCATCTATGGTATCAGGTCCCATGGATACAAGTGAGCAAATCTAGGTCTTTGCTATTGACGGTTAACCCTACAAGCTTCCTTCTGGCCATAGGCCTTGGAGTGTAAGTAACCCAGTCTGATTTGACCTTCTACCGTATAAAGTCTTACGTTGTTAACTACTCCTGACTGTTTACAGAAATGATAATAAATACCTTGTGCTGCTAAGTTGATATTTCCTGGATAGGCATTACTAATTGACATTGACAATTTGTTGATGGCCTATTTATCTTTATGATTTGTAATGTGATTTCTTTTTACAGAAATGAAACATCATTTGCAAATTGTTACAGCTGTGTAATATCTTTTGCAATGATAAACTTGATGGATAAGATACTTTGAAAGACCGAAGCAAAACATACACTATATATAGGCAGTAGGCCAGTCACCTGTTCACCTCATTTTTCCATAAGTTTGAAACATTTGGTATAAAATTTCAAATAGTGTATATTCTTCTGGACATGTGCTATAATTTTTCCATTTTCCCTTGTATTTTTACTCAATCTAATTGGCTAAAAATCTTTAAATCTTAAAAGTCAACTGTTTGCTGCTCCACCCTCCAATCTTCTGCTCATTCTCTTACTTAGACAGTTAGACGAATTCAGCCACTTGGAAATGAATTTATAAATCCATGATGATTTCCCACAAAATAAAAGGTTGTTAGAATACCCATAGGTAGTTATATACTGTGCTTTGGTAAAATGATCTGACAATATCAAGATTCCCTTGTAATTATTACTATAAAAAATGAGTTAAGCAGCTAAATAATATTGGTTAGTGTGTGACTATCAAATTCAAGATACTTATCTGACCCTAACTGATCTGATACAAGCCCAATCAGAAGAACCCCTCACCCGAAAATGATCTGACCCAACTGGACCTGCAGGACTGTCCAATTGCCAGGTTTAGGGTTGACCCAATAAGTCATCTACCGTGAGATTGTCCCTGCATCAATATGACTATGCCGGGGAAGGGAGGGCTATTTGTTTTAGGATATCAATTTTATCATGCATGAGTATATAGTTTGCATAAGATTTTTGCTGTCTTTTAGGTCATGAAACAAGGACTTATGTTTGTGTTGCAGTCTCCTACACATCATTCTGTTAGCTTTTAATGCTCTTTCCATAAAGATTTTATCATCCGTCTCTGGTGGTAGTAAATCTGTCTTCTACAACAGAAAAAACGCCATTGCGTTGCTTTTGGTTGCAAGCCAGGTGAGTTTTTCATTTTCTTACAAAGTTCAAGTATTTGAGCCTTGAAATTGATGGCAAAATCTCTTTATTAAGGCTTTTCATTTTCTTGAGCTGTTCTCTTTGTTTTTAGCTTGATATTGTGCTTGAATTTTGGCCGGCAGAAAACCCTGCCTGTTATGGTAGCAGTTGTAGATCAGCTTGGTAGTGCAATGGGTGCTCCTGGTTTGTTGATTCTACCTTGTGTTGCAGCACATATAAATCAGGTCGCTTAGTGTTTCATCTCACTCAAATTACTGTTTTTGAGGGAACACCCACATAAATCTTTGTTACAGCTCTACTAATGCCCACCTTACGGAATATTGCTATCTTGCAGATCATTTTGGATTCATTTTTTGTCAATTTTTTGCTTCAGAGAGATCATGTTCCTCTTGCAAAAGAAGCCTAGTATTCAGGAACCACGCTGTTAAAAGATAGCTGAAGCTGCAACTTGAAGCCAGTGGCAGATCCACCCTTGTGGCCTAATTGTCATTTTCTGTTTACATTTTAAACTTGAAGGTCGTGTGAGCTCGTGTACATTCTTTTCCATTCTTAGCAATAACTGTCTTAAAATCTATACGTTTCATCCCTTTTAAGGACAAGGTACTGCTATAAAAGTTTCTTGGATTTACCATGGTTGAATTAGGTTAAAATACGATTATACTACTTTTCAGGAATATATGTTCACATTTTCTCCTAATGTTAAAATATCCCAGCAAACAAGGTATGATCCTTGTATGTTGCAAGAAGTTGGTTGTGCCTGCTACTAGTCAATGTTTAAGATGCTGGATGCACCAAAGATAGTTCAGGATGTTGAGGCCAATTTGTCGAGCATAAATTCAATTATGATGAATTAGATCATTAAATCAGGTCAATATTAAATTATAACTCTTTTATATATTTGACAAGTTAAGATATTTTGTTTAAGCTAACAAAATAATTTAAGTCGAAGATATTACAATAGTGTTAAACCATAAATATACTTTCACCATTTGATAATAAATTATACTAAAGAGCTTATTTTAAATAAAGTGATAATATGAATAAATGATACTAAAGAGCTTATTTTATATAAACCGGTGGAAAGCCTTCAATATTGTTTTTGTGTGCCTTTTTACTTTATTTTTGTTTGTTTTAGGTTTTTAAAAACTCTTCCTCTTCTCATCTAGGAGGAACGTTTTTCCCTCGAAAGAAAGGGATTTTCTTCTTTTTTAAGAGGATATTACTCTTTCGAAAGAAGGTTTTTCTTCTCTCTTTTGAGAGAGGATTTACTTTTTTTTTTGATGGATTGTTGTAGAGATATTTTATGGGTAAAGATTTGTATGAGATAAAAAAAAGAGGTTAATCTTTCATTTACAACTAGACGAATCAGGCAAAAATTTTCTTCACGGCTACAACAGATTGATAGACCTCCTCGTCGAGATAGGCTATAAATCACAGCGATGTGAAAGTGGGTGTAAAGAATGTATTATTTGCGACAACGATCGTAGCTTTTTTGAACGGATATTTTTATTTGATTCAATTGTCATGTATTTTTTAGATATAAATCTTATTGTAGATTTCGTATGACATTTATTTATGAATCAATCTTTATTAAAATAAATAAATAAATGAGGAAACATTAAATTAAGTTTCATAAAAGAGAACGTATTATGTACGGCTGGATTGACGAAATATCTCTTGCGTCTAAACACAAACCACGAAGTAAAAAAAGGAGTGGGTTTGAAGCCCGGTTGTACCGGGCTTCGCGGGCTCGATTAAAAAAGGCGCGGGTTTCGCAGGCACGATTAAGACTAGATGATATCCTCCAACGACTGGATGATATCTTCTAAAGACTAAATACTAATTGATGTCCACCTAAGTGAAGATTCCTTAAAATACTAATTTTTATCATCCAACCTGTTATTAATATAATCCAAAGACTAGACGATATCCTCCAACGACTGGATGATATCCTCTAAACACTAAATACTAGTTGATATCCTCCTAAGTGAAGATGATATCCTTAAAAGACTAGATTTAATCATCCAACCTATTACTAATATAATCCAAAGACTTGAACGATATCCTTAAAAGACTAGATGATATCCTCTAAAGACTAAATATTAGTTGATATCCTCCTAAGTGAAGATGATATCCTTAAAAGACTAGATTTTATCATCCAACTTATTACTAATATAGTTCAAAGACCGGACGATATCCTTACAATATTAGATTTTATCATCCAACCTATTACTAATATAATCCAAAAACTGGACGATTCCTTAAAAGACTGAATGTATAATCCAAAGACTGGACGATATCCTCTAAAGAGTGAATGATATCATCCAAACACTAAATACTAGTTGATATCCTACTAAGTAAAGATGATATCCTTAAAAGACTAGATTTTATCATCCAACCTGTGACTAATATAATACAAATATTATACGATATTCTCCAAAGGCTGAATGATATCCTCCACAAACTAGTTGATATCCTCCTAAGAGATGATGAAATCATCCAAAGACTAGATGATATCCTCTAAAGACTAGATGTTTATCTAACATTGCTTATGGAATGTGCATATTCAACAAGTATGAAATGTGTAATTGCTTAAAGTGACAGAAGATACAAGAAGTTGATTAATTTTTTCGAATCTTTTTTTTTTTTTTTTTTTTTTTTTTTTTTTTTTTTTTTGTGTCATATATCATCCAACACTTTAATCATTTAAGTTTGTATGTATTTAATTTGTCATCTTATTCAAAGAATCTTAAACAATAAAAGTAAATTTTTCTTTTGGCAGTGTTCAGTCTTTTGCAGCATTATTTTTTGTTTTTTGGAAATCATAAACATATTGTATTAGTGAAATCTTAATATTCCCTATGTGTAATATCTGAATTAGTCAAATAAAATTTTATTTTTTCAAACGTTAAAGCTAAAAATCATGTTTATATCAATTTTTTTTGTCAAACCATATATTAATGATTTATTTAATCAAGAATAAATTATATTATACAACAAAAAGAAGATATCCTCTAAAGAACGGATTATATCATGTTAAATACTGGATGATACCCTAAAAAGAATTAATGATATCAGATAAAGACTAAATGATAACCTTCAAAGACTACATTATATCATCAAACGTATGGATAATATAAGACCAAGTTATTATCATATACAACTATCAGCATTGACAAAAAACACTTTAATCATATAGGTTGTATATATTTGGTTTGTCATTTTGTTATGAGAATAATAAATAGTAGAACTACATTTTTTTTTAGCAGGCTTTAGATTTTTGGAGTGTTATCTTCCTATTTCCTATATCAAATATATGAATAAGTTAAATTGAATTATCTTAACATCTCATCTTCCTCAACCAAAAAATAGAATATGAACCTATATAACAAAAACAATCATATCATCTTTTTAATTAAATGATATCCTTAGACAACTTAAACATATCCTCCATATATAAAATATATAATATAATTACAAATTAAAATATATATCCACATATATATCTATATATTACATATATATGTAAATAATAAAAAGGGAAATTCTACATAGTGGCCTCGTGGTTTTGAGTTTTCTACGTGGAAGATAAAGTTTTTTTCAGCTCTCTTTAGTGGCACCAAGGTTTAGAAATATTGAACATAGTGACCTTTTTTAGGTTTATGGCTAACCTTTTTAGTTAAAATGGTTGACCTTTGATTTTCTTTATTAAAAATTATTTAAATTATATTTTAAAATATTAAAATTTTAAAAAATATATAATTATAAAAAAAACAAAAAAAAAAAAATAGAAATCCCAGCCCCACCCTCCTTCCCTTCCCTGACCACCCCATCCCCACCGCCCACCGGCCAACCCACACTGCACCTCCCCTTTCTCGTCACGCCAGCCACCCCGCTCACTCACCGTCGAATCCCCCAACCCCCGAAAATCTCCCTACCTGAAACCTAGCCCATAAAACCTTCCCGACCTGCTCGAAACAACCGCACGCACAACCTACAACACCAAACAACCACAATCACAACCAGCCTAAACCGTCAGCTGGAGCACCAATCTCCACCTAATCATTAATTCGCCACCCGCAATCACCAATTCGCCACCCGCAATCACCAAACAACCACCATCACCGCCAACCTAAACTTCGAATTATGCTTCAATTTGAATACAGGGATGGTGAGTTCACGAGGGTGGTGGTTCAAGGGGGAAGGGCCGACGGAACGGTCAAGGGGTGCGGCCGGCCAATTTTCGTTGAATTTAGGGTTTTGCGGTGGGGGTGGCGGTGGTTTCGTTGGACTTCGTAGTTGTTTTGGGGATCGGGGTGGCGGTTTTAGTGGTCGGGGCTAGGTCAGGTGGGGTTGTGGAAGGCCGACCGACCAGTTTTGGTGGTTTCGGTGGTCGGCGGTTGGGCTGAATGGTGGTTTCAGTGGTCGGGGGTGGCCAAATTCCGGCAAGGTTAGGGTTTGCGGGGTGGCTGGGAATTTTTTTGTTTTTTTTTTTTTAAGTTTTATTATTTTAAAATATAATTTAAATAATTTTTTTATTAAAAAAAATCAAAGGTTAACCATTTTAACTAAAAAGGTTAGCCATAAACCTAAAAAAAGGTCACTATGGTCAATTTTTCTAAACCTTGGTGCCACTAAAGAGAGTTGAAAAAACTTTGTTTTCCATGTAGAAAACTCAAAACCATGAGGCCTCCATGAAGAATTTCCCTAATAAAAAAAACCTGTAATAGATTGTAAAAAATAATATATATATTTTATATATATATAAACCTATAATCACAAATTTTCGTCTAGCTTTGATTCTATTTTATGCTGTTTAGTAAGTTTAGCAGCCAAAGCCCTTGCTTCTCTTTCTAACTGGCTTGTTCAGCATAAAAGACTTCCTCCTCTTTCTTCCTAATTTTCTGCTATGCAAGAAGTTGCTTTTTCTTTGACAAAAACTTTCATAATCCATTTAAATAGCTTGAACATTGGGGTTTTTAGGGTGAAGCACCAAGTCTAATGTTAGCTTACACCTAAAAACCTTCCTATTAACTTTCTGTAAAGATAAAGGAAAAAATGAATATTGTAAGTTCAAAAAAATAATTATGTAGATAGAATAATATATTACTGAATTCAATTCTGATAGAGTTTCATCACTGCCACCATTATATAGCTCCGTAGCTTTGATTGCATACAAACCACAATCTTCAGCTTCTTTTGTTGACCTCCATTTGAAATTAAGATACTTATTCTCACCCCATGTACAAAGATTCAATAAAATTTTATGTTATAAAATTTTCCCACCATTTTCATGTACAGAATTAATCTACATGAAAAATTAGATATTAAGTTAATAATAGAAAATAAAACAAAATAAAATGTAAAAAAAAAAAAAAAATTAATTTACCAACAGATTGTCTCTATTTTTATATCTTATAATTTATCCCTTCGGTTATCAATGATCTCAACTGCAGGTCTTCTTTTCTCATTTCCAATTGTATTAACCACAATATTTGCATAACTATTGTGCTTATGAACAGGAAAAATTATCTGAAAAACATTACAGGATATCATTAACGCAAAAGAAGAAATCATCAATCCACATGAAGGATATCATGACAGCAATAGAAGAAATCTTGAATACGA